GAACGGCACGAGGGTCGCAGAAGGTCACAAGGCCAGCTTCTGTCTGGAGGACACGTACTGCCCTGAAGGTACACACACACACACACTCACACACACACACACACACACACACACACACACACACACACACACACACACACACACACACACACACACACACACACACACACACACACACACAAATGAAAGAAACTCAGTGTTTGTGTGAGTTTATTGTACAATCAGTGATCAATAATAATGATTAGTGAGTGTGTGTGTGTGTGCGTGTGTGCGTGTAGGTCTGACCAAGCGCTACGCCTGCTACAACATGGGTGATCAGGGCATCACAGTGGGCTGCTGGGATACGTACAGACACGACATTGACTGCCAGTGGGTGGACATCACTGACGTCAGGCCCGGGAACTACATCTTCCAGGTCACTCACACACACGCGCACACACACGCGCGCACACACACATCTGTGTTTCTGTAAAGAGAGTCAGACCTGTGCTTCAAACAGGCGTCTCTAACAGGCTTCAATCAGGTCCTCTTCAGTCTGCTGGTATCTCAGCTATGGGCTGGTGGTGCGCAGAGACATGATCACACTGAAACCAGCAGAGCAGCTACAGAGAGCTGCACCGCAGATGCAGACCGGCCTATGGGGATCTCTGGGGGGTTATGAGGGTTTGTTTTATCTCTGTGATGGTTTTTGATAGCTTCTGATGGTCTGTGTGAGGGTTTCTGGAGGTTTATGATAGATTCGGAGGATCTGTGAGGATTTCAGATAGTTTCTTAGGGTCTGTATAAAGGTCTATAACTGTTTATGAGGGTCTGTGAGGGTTTCTATGGATCTATGAGGGTTTGTATGGATATTTAAGAGACGTTCTGAGACTCTCTGATTGTTTATGAAGGTCTCTGAGGCTGTGTGAGGATTTTTGAGGGTTTATGTGAGGGTTTTTGCTGGTTTATGAGGGTATATGTATTTTTATGAGGGTCTATGATGGATTCTGAGGATGTGTGAAGGTTTCTGAAAATTTATGATGGACTCTGAGGACCTGTGAGGGTTTCTAATAGTTTCTGGGGGTCTGTGTTTCTGATAATTTATGACAGATTCCATAGATCTGTGAGGGTTTCTCTAAAAATGGTCTGTGAGGGTTTCTAAGAATTTATGAGGGTTTTTTTTAAATGTCTGTGATGGTTCCTGCTGTTCTGATCTGGTTTCTGATGGTTTGTGCTGGTCTGTTCTGGTTCAGGTGGAGGTGAACCCGTCTCTGGATATGGCGGAGTCTGATTTCCAGAATAATGTGATGCGCTGCAGATGTCGGTACGATGGTGGACGAGTCTATCTGTACAGCTGCCACACAGGTGAGTTTACATCACATGAATAGCAGCACTCGCATTAGTTACCTGTAATGAATGAGCTTCCGCGTCTGCACCCACAGGTGACGCCTACAGTGCAGCAGCAGAGGACCTGTTTGAACACCGGCAGGAGATCACTAACAACTTCCTGTGACGACGGCAGCGATGGACTGCAGACTCATCACCAATCTCTAACAGCTCGCGAGGTGGTGGGGGGTGGAGTCTATGATTGACAGGGGAGTGGGTGGGGCTAAAGTGATGATTGACAGGCAGGGGTCGTTTACACTCAGCCACGTGTTCATTTCAGCCAGTGTTGATGAAGATGCTGAGTGAGGATCAGTCCAGATGAAGGATTTTCACAGATCACAGGTCCGCTCGGCATCTTTATATAGTTTAGTGTTTATCACCAATTCAACATTCAGAGGGGGAAAGTCCACTAAAACAGTAAACATTAGTCACCAATTGTGTTCAGGATGCAGCAATCTGAAGTAAACTTACAAAAAAAATGGTCTCAGAGGTGTGCTTCTTGTGTTGATCAGTTTCCTAATGCGCAGGTTTATTTGAGGGATCTTTCAGGATGTTCATGTGTTGGTTCTGTTGGGGAGAACTTTATTATATTGTTTCTCTGTAGGTCAACTGCTGAATCAGGGTTAATTTCTGCCAATAAAATCATGAATAAAAATCAGATTTTGAGGAGGGTGAGATTGAGAACCGCTGCTGCAGGTTAGTCAACATGATGAACACTCACCTGTTCTCTGTGAATCGAACTCAACCCTTCCCTGAACACCAAGCAGCCTTTCCTGTGACGTATAAAGATCCTTTATTTCTGTGGCCAGTGGTGCTAACTGTAGGGCTCATTCAGTCGTCAGCATTATGACACTATTATTATTATTATTATGGGAGTGTAATGTGATGTCTGCTCGCTGTTGTATTGGCATGTACAGGTTGTTATGGTTATGATCTCTGGTTTGTCTGTATTTCTGATGTCCTGACCTCAGTTTTTTAATGTTATTGGAAACGTGCTCTCTATGAAGAGAAACAGACGCTCCGCTTTACAGATGTGCTTCAATACTTGAAAAATAAACTTCTCATGTCTAATCTGAGGAAAGTGTGTCCTCCTCATCTCCTCCTGTTGTGTTCTGCTGTGATGTCTGACTGGTGTAGCTGTGAAATACCTCGTCATTCAGCGGAGTGATATGGAGCTGTAATGCGCTCTAAACCTGCTGGAACTACTTTAGCTGTGCCTTTTATCTGGCGATAACCAAACACCTGAGAGCACAGGTGTCAAACTCAGGCCTTAGATGTCTGCAGCTGTACACAGTTACTAATTTAATTAAACACACCTGATCAAACTGATGGAGTCCTTCAGGCTTGTGTGAAGTGTGCAGGTGAGTGTGTTGAAGCAGAGATGAGGCTAAACTGTGCAGACCTGCGACTCTTCACCACCCCTGCCCTATAGTGACCATCAGCCACATCATTATTCTTCTGAAATCAAGTATTATATTAGAGATATATCTGATATGGTGCCGCTTTAGGTGCCCACACACACACACACACACACACACAGCGCCCCCTGCTGGCTCATACACAATACAGCATATATTACACAAGAGTTTGATAACAGTGTTGTCTGCAGTCTTGTGTAATATATTCCAGTCTTCAAGAGACGGCTCATACAAACATGAAAACGGTCATTATGTACTCTCCCTGAGTTTAAACCTTTCAACAGAGTTTCTTTCTTCTGTTGAACTAAATTTGGAGGAATATTTAAAACCTGTCCCCCCTCACTTCAGTGTGTTTCCTACTATGGAATAACCCCTCACATTTATATTTCACTTTTCTGGACCCTCAAAGCGTCTTACACATGTTTGGGGGAATCTCCTTACCACCATATTGGTTAGGAGGCCATGATGGACAGAGGCCAGTGGGTTGATTAGGCCGGGGTTAAACCCCTACTCTTTATCCAAGCACATCCTGAGATTATTAATGAGCACAGAGAGTCAGGAGCTCGTCTCACTGACAGTGTAGAGTCCCCTTCACTCACACACAGGACTCACACAGACTGCAGGTTGAGCGCCCCCTGCTGACCTCACCAACACCACTGCCAACAGCAGCCGAGTGTTCCCCTGTGCTCTCCCATCCAGACACTGACCCGGCTCAACCCTGCTTACCTTCAGTGGGCGACCATGTGAGAGTTGAGGAGAGCGAGCTGCTGGCGAACGTTCAGTCAGTCAGTGCTCACACATTATTTTAAATATTATTTAGAGGTGTTTTTTTCCTAAATATCTTCATGTTCAACAGGATGAAGAGTTAATAGTAAGCTTTCGCTATTGCACGAACTAACCCTTAATCTTTTCTTTCTTTTCAGCTTAGTCTCTTTCTTAATCGCCACAGCAGAATGAACCGCCAACTATTCCTGCATATGCATTACACAGCGGATGCCCTTCCAGCTGCAGTACTGGGAAACACCCATACACAAACACACACACACACACACACACACACACACGCGCACACACACACACCGTCTCTCTCGGAACAGACAGGATCCACACGGCGCTGTACAGTGACCCATTTTAATCAAATTCCAAAATAAATTAAAGAAACATCATGATGAAGACGACTGAACATTCCGGAATGATGAAGCTCAGAGCAGAGGAATGGAGACGTATAAAACTAAGTGTGTGTGTGTGTGTGTGTGTGTGTGTGTGTGTGTGTGTGTGTGTGTGGTAGTCCTGCAGATGAGGATGACTCCATGGTTTGTCCTGCTACAAAAGCAGCGTGTAGAAAACGCTGTGGATGGTCATGCTGGAGTTTAAAATCTGTACAGAGATCAGCGTGTGGATGGGTGGAGGAGCGCAGCAGCAGAGAGTCTCTGAGTTCAGCGCTAGCTCTGCTAACGCCGCTAGTGTTACCGTAGCACTGCTGGCGCTCAGCGTCTGCAGGAAGTGACGTCAGCGCAGACGCGGATCTACTTCCTCTTCTTGAGGTTGTTATTGGAGGGCAGTCTCTGTCTGGGGGTGGGCTTCAGCCGCAGCCGGCTCCGCAACACCTCCATCAGCTTGGAGAGGACCTGAAGGAGAGCAGGCATGAGTTAGCGATCACGTAGAGGTCGGCAGTAAGAGGTCAACAGTGGTCAAAAGAGAGCTGTCAGAACTAGTCAGAGGTCAGGTCAAAGGTCATCAGAAGGCAATAGAGCTGTTAATGGTTAGATTAAAGGTCAAAGGTCATCATTAGGTCAATGGTTAAAATATGTCAAGAGTGGTCAGGGTCAAGGGTTATCAGAAAAGGTCAACAGAATTAGAATAGGTCAGAGGTCAACATGGTCACCGGGTCAGTGGTTTGAAGAGGACAGAGCTCAGCAGTCTGAGGTCAACAGCTGTCAGGTGTTACAACAGGTCAGAGGTCAAATGTCATTACAGAGGTCAAACGTCATCAACAGAAGACGGAGGTCAACAGAGGTTAAAGGTCAGAGGCTCACCTTCCTGGGCGTCCTCTGTGTGAGCGTGAGGTGAGAGAGACACAGAAGGGTTAATTGAAGCACAGTATCAGCTGCTTCTCTTAGACACTGTAGTGTATACCCTCAGAGTGTGCTCATGTGTACTCCTGCTGTCATTTGTCAGCCGGACATGCGTAATCTTGCTAAATATTGTCCCGGCCCAAGCCTACAGCGCACAACACAAGCACAGCCGCTTATTTCAGCCGTCTGACAGCTACAGTCATGCTGCTCAGCCCTAGTCTGAGGCCGTGTCCACACGAACACACAGTGTCAGCTGACTGAAGCAAACTTTC